CGCCTCCCCCGGGCACCTTGCTGACCCTCCAGCCCCCAGGGCAGCAGTCCTCGCCTGGGTGCGTGCCTGGGGTGAGGGGGCCACAGCCGCCGCAGCACCGCGGGAGCACCCTGAGGCAGCCCAGTAAAGGGTGAAGGGACCCACCCAAACCAAGGAGGGCTGCGCTGGGCCTTGGCGCTTGCCGGGAGCGTTTCGCAGAGCCTGTGCGCCGTGTTAGCCAGCAGAGAACCTCCCCCCTGCATCCACATGCTCCACGCGGCCGTGCAGGAGAGGGGTTGGCGCCTGGGAAGTGTGGGTTACCCGTGATTGCTGTTAATGAAGCTTACTGTGCAGAGCAGGGATTTAGGAAAGCTAAAGGGTGACCCAAGGCTGGGTGCGGTGTGGATTTGGAGCATGAGCCCTTTTTGAAATACCTTGGTTGGAAAAAAACATAATCAAGGCGGGAGATGGCAGTGATTTAATTTGGCATAGCTACCAGTTTACCTGGGCAGCAACTTAAGAAAGTATGCCAGTAACAAAAGAATGGAAGGCAAATGGCCCTCTTAGGTTTGTATTGTCTCTGAGCCCCGCTAATGGGGTAACAGCACTGAGCGTCCTCCTGGGGAGAAAGGAAAGACCATCCCATATGCCAGCCCGGCCTGCCTTTGGCCCAGCCTCGCGGCCCCGCCTTGGGCCCAGCCTCGCCCGCGGCGGGCCGCAGATCGTGTCTGCGGGCAGGTCGGGTTACCTCCCTGGGCAGCCCTTGCCATGGCAGGAGGCAGGATCCAGGCTGAACAACTGCTCTGCGATTAGCTTAATTCCCACCATCCCCTACGCTGTTCAAGGACAGACCCACAGTGAAGGGTTGTTTTGACTTTTTTTTTCCTGGGAAAAAGTCAAAGTCTATCCATGGATTTTAATTGCTGTGGAAATCCGATGTGAATTAGCGGTGACTATATGCAGACAATCTCCATCTTTCACGCACCTGCATATGGCTTTTGTAACATTACCCTCTATGGTAGTAAATCTTATACCACTGTCACAGCATTTATATCCTGAGATCTTCTCCTAGAAGCCTGAGGCTTGACAGGAAACTAATTCCCAATGAAGTGCGACATTTGCAGGAGCTTTTCACTGCAGACTGGGTTGTTCTGAAATCTGTACTCTCTTCTACAGAAGTGCCCTGTATCATATTAGCTTCTACACACTCCTGGGAAGCCATGGAAAACCCACTCCCTCAGCCAGGCACGTTGGACAAACTTGCTTCTTCCTGCTGGATTTTACAACTGCAAACACAGCTTCAAAACAAAACAGAACAAAACACTCACCAGCAACACCAGCAGCCCTGCTCTGAACATGTGGGATGCTGCACTGGATCCCTGCTCTTTTATTGGAATGAAACTCAGACACACCAGTTCAGTGCTGTCCTGAAGTGCGTCGAGGCTTTTTTTTTTACTCTCTCTCCTTCTTTTCTTTTCCCTCCTTCCTTGTGTTGATTTGTGGGGCCAGAATGACTTTGATTTCAGCAAGTTTGCTGTTTATTCACGTCACAAGTTTGACAGCTTTACACCAAATCAGATTGCTGGGTTTCAGGAGAGCTCTGAGGCGTCACTGGGAGCTCCTTTAGATTAAACCTCCCCGGTCTCCCCCCTCTCTCCCTCCTTCAGAGCCATTTAAACCTCGCTGGGGCTTTAACAGAAACGTGCTCCCAAGACCTGCATTTCTTTCTGCCACTAATATGGTAAGTGCTCTTGCATTTCTCTGGACCTGGAGACAGAAAAGGAGAAGCTGGTCTCTGTGCCCTGGGGGCTTGCAGCAGGTTTCGTGCCCTCTTTAAGATGGGGAAGGAAGAGGGCTCTCCTCCACCTGCGAGAGCAGTCTCTGCTGCTGTGCCTTCCCATGGGTGAGCGGATTCCTTGCTCGAAGCTCCAGGCTCTGCCGTTGCCTTGCAGAGATTCAGAGCTGCTGCAGATGGGGCTTGTTTGGAGGAGGGAAAAGGGGTGAATCCAGAGACGACCCCAAGCTTTGCTGCTGTGCGGTCTGGGACTCCTGCAGAGCTGCCGGGGCAGAGGAGAGTACGGGCAGCCTGGAGGTGACTCCGCCGGCTTTGCGCTGCTTTAAAGTTGAACCGAGCCCCCGAGGCGGGAGGAACGGACCGGCCGAGGACAGCCCGCGTCCTCCCGCCACCTTAAACCCGCTCTGGACCCCCTGAGCGTTTCCCGAGGGTTTGCGGGAAGCTCGGCCGCCCG